TAGAGTTTTTCATCACCCAAAGTTGCCCGGAGCCATCCAAAGTGTTTAAAACAATTTAGTACTTTTTAGTACATTTTAGTACACTTTTATTACTTTTTAGTACTTTGCCTGAAAAGTTCTTGAGGAGTACTAAAAAGTTTCTTCAGGCACTATTGCTCTATTTTAAGCAGTTGAGAAGTTTCAGGACTTCGAAAATGCACAAAAATACCGGTTTATAGCGAAAAGTGATTTTGAGACAATAAAGTGAACTGGATGTTGATTTTTCGAGTTAATATGTTCAGGAGTGTTGCTTAGCTATACTCTGGCTACAATATTGCCGAACACACTAAGTGAAAAAAATGTATACTGCTCGAGCTTTGGTCGAAAAACTGGAAAAATTGACCATTTTCTCGACATTTTGCCTCATAGCTCTCACCAGATAGGTTCAATTCAATGTATTATTGTAGTTTCAATCGTTATCAATCATTTTCAATGAATACCAGCCAAAAAATGAGCAAAAAATGATGTTTTAAGTGTAAGAAAATTTCGCTGATTTCTCAGGTCTAAGGAAAATTTACCAAAATCGATAACTTTCTTACTTGCACGTCAGCCGGAAAAAGTGAGAATGCAGAAATGTTTGTTTTGAGGTCCTCTAAAATCGTGCATTCAAAACCCCAATGTGCAAAACAACAACTTTTATTTTGTCACACGGTGATATTGACACTTTTGCTTACTTACTCTGCACATCGAGACTTTTTCTAGTCGGTCTTACAACATTCACACTTGTTGATGACGATATCAAATCGGCCATAACATTTATGCTCGTCGAAGAAGAAAATGACATTCTGCCCGTCATGATTGCCACTTGCGAGTCAACTTAAAAAAATGTCTTTATCTTCAAAAATTGTTGTGTCGAATAAAACAATTTTTCTGAGTTTAAACTCAATATAATTTCACACGAGGCTCTTGTCACACTTCTGCGTGTCCACTTCAGATGCCACAATATAAACTGAAATTTGAATGAGTCTTGATGAAGTTTTTATATCAATTTTCTACAATAGCTGTTACAATTTAGTCCTGAGCAATTGTTTGTTACGATGGGCCAATTTAGTTAATTCAATTCAATCGATAGTTTTTAAATGTCTTGCGTTATGTATGATGCGAAATCAATTGAAATGCATGTGATATTTGTGATAACGGCCTGAACACGTTCACTTCTATTCGATGATTTCGTTTAGAAATGGTCTCCGGAGGTTTTGTTGTCAAATGATTAATTCTGAGGCAATATCACGGATAGTTTCTATATGGAAATAGCCGCCGTAACTAAAGATTACAAGAAGAAAACAAAATAGATGTAATCACTTGATCTTTGACTTTGATATATTTTTTGATGCATCATCATGAGCACACTCAAGCGGTCTCCCGCGTCCCACGTGCACTTAGCAGAGACAAAGCGAAGCGCAAAAGGAGATCGCATCTCGTCAAGGAGGGCTGACGTGTGAGAAGATACAATTTTTAGTCAAAAGACAGATTTTGAGCAGAATTTTAATACTCAATTTCTACTTGAATAGAATACCGAAATTCCTTCTTCTGATTTAATTCTCATTTTTTCGACTTATAATTCGGCTAAATTTTCACTGTCTCTTAAGAAGTGATTCAGACATGTGTGGAATGAAATGAAAGTCAACTGATTCTTATGATGAATTAATGAAAACATATTTCATTTGGTAAATGTAGGAACCCCATTCTTCGGACAGTGGGTATAGTATATGTGTGAATGAAAATAATTAAAAAGACTTTTTTTTTCAAAATTTGAATATTTTTTACCAAAAAACATCGAATAGTGATAAAAAGGAGAGAAACACTCGTCAAGTGTTTGATGTTCTTCTTTTGGCCTAACCATTGAAAAGTGTTTAAATGAATTGTTCATTCGTTGCTCGATCAAACTAAAGTCAAGGCCATGAGATACAGCTATATGGAAGACATAATTCGGTTTGTGCTAAAAAAGTTGTGACTAGACTGATTTCTGTTTTATTGATTGATTTTTATATTTTGTTTGAGATCGTTGTTGAAAAAGGTCTTATAACCCCTAAAACAAAATATTCTATAATTAAAATTTATTGCTAAATTATAACTCAATAACAGGAAACTATAACCCCTTTTTCTTGACCAACAACAAGATATTTGACAAAGACGGCGCTTTCTTATGGACATTTCCATGTACAGCTGTTGGCGCCATTTTTGGTAAGATGCACAGAACTAAGAGAGTTTCTTGTCATTGTAATAACTGTACATTTATAAAGATTCTTAATATCTAAATTTATATCATAAATACAAGTCTATTTGAATGATGTGACACTAAGACTCGTTCTGTACGATTGAATTGTCAGCTTTGTTATGAATATTTGGAATAAAGTACGTTAGCACTCCCATAACTAGAAAAGGGAAAAAAAACGTATCATCAAAAGTGATAGAAAGAAGAAAAAAGTCATTGATTTCACTGGAAGACAGAGTAGTATAAATGGTGAATCACCATTGGTGATTACAATTTATTCAAGCAAATTACCTATGACGCTCACGCCTGACAAATAGAAAGCAGCCTCACAATGATTGTCCAACAGGAGAGCGGCTGTAAATGAACCGAATACACATCCCATACGTCCGAACATTAATGAAATACAGATTGCCATTGCTCTGTTTACGAGATAGGAAATGTTAAATTGTTTAAAAAAGTAAATGCACTGCATCATTTAGTAGTATTCAATAGTTCACCTCAAAGCAGTTGGATATAGTTCAACGGTAGCCGAATTGACAATGTTCACTGCAATGCCCGCACACATCAGTGCAATAAAAGAGTATATTTGCACCACGGGAATATCAGTATTCATGCAAAGGATCCCACCCGATCCACTAACAATCAAAATGACAACTATTTCAGGGAGACAAATAAAGCAAACAAATTGTCAGTTTTTGCGATAAATTCCGATATATCTATCTCTATCATACTCACATAAAATGGGGAATTTGCCAACTTTATTAATGATCAGTCCGATGACCGCAAAACCTAGAGCGAACAAAAATTCCAGGACGATTCCTTGTTCCAGCGTCGCCAACTCAAGTTTTGTGATGCATTTCTATTGAAAGATTTAGGAAAATTATAACATTTACTTAACTTAGTAAGAAATAAAACCACGTTTAAACTCACCACATCGTCATGTTCATTTAGTTGATTTGCGCTCATGTTAGCCGGTTTCATGTTGATAATGTCGCACATAGCCATTCGTTGCTCAGTAAAACTGCCCAAATTGGTTGCCATTCTGTTCAAGACTTCGGCGAAGAACATGTAAAATCCGTTGCTCGTAGCATAAATTCCGAATTGAATAGTGCAAATCAAAAGAGTCGATGACAAATGAGGAGGTTTGAATAATGGGGCGGTTTGTATCCAAACGGATTTCAACAATGGGAATCGACTGTTCTTGCAGTCCGTAATACGACGTCGATTTTCGATTGATTCAGCCTCTTCATAAATTTCGAATGATTCAACTTTGTTTTTCTTGCCGTTATTCCATCGGTTCATTGTTTGCAAAACTTTATAGGCTTCCACTTCGTTACCCTGGCCGAGAACGAATTTCGGACTCTCTGGCATGAATAATAGAATCATCGACGCAAGGAATCCGGGAATACCGCAAACAATAATGAACAAACGCCACGGTTTGTATGTGATGTCGATGAGAGGCACGTGAAATTGCCAATCTTGATTGATGACAAACCATGCGATCAATGGCAACAATAGACATGAAATACCGTAGATTACCGCCGATCCCATTATGGCACGACTTCGCTGTTCGTTGTTATGAAATTCACCCAAATATGCGAAAACTGTAGCCGACGAACCTGAGATGCTTTTAGAAAGAAACTCTTGAAAAGAATACGTTTTTCATCCAATAGACTTTTTGCAAAAGGAAAAAAGTTCAAAACTCATTCAAATAATAAACTTAACCCTCTAATGCATACAACCGCCTCTAGATGGGCCACATTTGAACGCCTGTAGAACTTAAACCGTACATCGGATCACATTGCTTCGTCAATGTTCTCTCTTTATTTTTGTCTTTGGCAATATTTGTCTATGTAGTGTGATTGTAAAGTTATAAACAAAAATGTGTGCAAAAACAAAAATTTGACAAAATAAATTATTAATTATCTATGGCCAAAAATCAACCAAGTACCAGTACTCCTAGCCCTGGGAAAAATTAATGCATTAGAGGGTTAAATAGAAGTTATTTAAAAAATTTCATATTTTCAGAATTGAAATCACGCCAGCAAAAGATTAATTGCCTGAACTATTCATTAAAAATAATATAAATCAGATATGTAAATATTAACTTACAAAAACCCATTGAGAAATCGCAGTGCAACAAAAAGATAAAAGTTCTGAACGAATGAAGAGGTTACAGACAAAAGGAACGCTACGAATAGAGTGGGTTGAATGACGCAGCGACGGCCTTTGGTATCCGCCAAGAAGCCCCATAAATGTGACGAACAAATTATGCCAAAGAATGAAACGGCGCCCAAAATGCCCTTTTCACTTGCACTCAATTTCATGTCACATTGTGAAACGGGAATCACAAAGGCCATACCGCATGTTTCCATTAATACTGCGTTCAAGATTAATCCACTAAGAAAAATCATAACATAGTTGAAGAGACCGAACTCTAATTTGGAGGAAACGAGATTAATTGTCATTTCCTGTAATTTTCTACAAGACTAGATCCAATATTATTTTCTCTCTTTTTTGTTCACTGTTCACTCATTGATTTTATCAAATGACTTACTGGTTTTGGAAATGGCTTCATCTATGAAAACCCCTTTTTTCTTCGCAGATAAGTCATTTTGCACTTTGTCTGATTCTCTGCAGCCTTTAATAATGAAGGAAAAATAATTAATTGCAATTTTTTCTTTGCTTTTTGCATCATTTTTTATTCTCACAGATCGATGTTGACGTATTTCAAATAGCTCAATTATGAGTAATCAATTTGAATGCGTATTTTTGATACGGATCTTGAAAAATAACCAACAAACGGTAGCTCCTTCTCTCTGAATATTAACAATTTTGCTTACTTACTCTGCACATCGAGACTTTTTCTAGTCGGCCTTACAACATTCACACTTGTTGATGACGATATCAAATCGGCCATAACATTTATGCTCGTCGAAGAAGAAAACGACATTCTGCCCGTCATAATTGCCACTTTCGAGTCAAATTAAGAAAATGTCTTTATTTCCAAAAATTTATATGTCGAATAACAAAAATTTTCTAAGTTAAAACTCTCACGAATCCAATTTCTCACTTTCACTTGTACACTTTAGATGCTGCGATATAAACTGAAAGTTGAATGAGTCTCGACGAAGTTTTTATATCAATTTTCGCCAACAGCTGATACAATTTAGGTCTGAGCCTTAATTGATGTCAGTTTGTTACGATGGACCAATTGAGTTAATTCAATTCGGTCGATAGTTTTTAAACGTCATGCTATAACGCATGATGCAAAATTAATTGTAACGCATGTGATAAGGGCTTGAACACGTTCACTTCTATTTGACACTTTCATTTGATTCTAAAATCTTATGAGTGGAAACGACTCTATCTTTTACGAGCATATCTTCGTTCGAAATTCTCCGAGTTTTTTGTGTTAATTGGCTCATTCCATTGCCATCAAATCAATTGAAAGGTTTTCTCCTTTTGATTTAATTACTAGTGTTTCGAATCATAATTCGACGAAATGTCTAACGTTGGAAATGATTCCGTCATGTGTCATATGGAATAAAAGCCCACTATCGGCCATGATTGAATAATAGCAAACAATTCAATTCAGTGAATACTAATGATTTTATTTAGTTAATAAAAAAACAACACCAGATAGTGGACACATGTATGTGAACACAGGACAATTTTTGATGAAAGATATGGAGAAAAAAATTTCTAAAAAAATTCCGTTAGAATTTGAAAATGTTCCATCATAGATCATACAGTGACAGAGATGAGAGAGACACGCATTAATTTACATTTGATAAGTGTGAGTCAACGTTCGTCGCAGACAAATACAATTCAATTAAATGGAATGCTCAAGGAAAAGAAATTAAAGCAGTCTTTGCTCAAAGTCTTGAAATCATTGTGAAAATGGGTCTTATAGCAGTCTATCCAAAACAAAAATATTATCAATTAAAATTTATTGCTAAATGATAATATACATTTAAATATGTTCACAGTGGAGGTTTTGATGCTTGTAAAACTTCTTATGGTATACATCTAAATGTTCTAATACTTTTGAACATAATTCAATGTTCACAGCACACAAAAAATGTAGCTGAGAACAAATTGGTTTTCGTTGCATTTTGACTCAAAATTATGCATAGTATAATTTGTGTCATAGTTTCTTTTTATCGCATTTAAATTACTAATGACCCAGTCTATCTGAATGATGTGATAATGGGACCTGTTTGTGCGAAAAAAATATGTTGAATTGATTTTAAGAAAGTACATGAACTGTTCCATTTACTAGTATTCAATAGTTCACTTCAAAGCGGTTGGATACAGTTCAACGGTTGCGGAATTGACAATGTTTACTCCTATGCTGGAGCACATCGGTGCAATGAATGAATACACCTGTACCACGGGAATATCAGTATTCATGCAAAAAATCCCGCCCGATCCACTGACAATAAAAATGACAACTATTTCAAGGAGATAAATGAATCGAAAAAATTGTTAGTTTTTGCGATTGATTCCAATATATCCATCATACTCACATAAAATTGGGAATTTGCCGACTTTATTGACGATCAGCTCAATGATCACAAAGCTTAGGGCGTACAAAAGTTCCAAGACGATTCCTTGCTCCAGCGTCAGAAACTCAAGTTCTGTGATGCATTTCTATTGAAAGATTTAGGAAAATTATAATACTTGGTCAAAAATGGAACCACATTTAAACTCACCACACCGTCAAATTCATTAAGTTGGATTGTGCTCATATTATCCGGTTTCATGTTGATAATATCGCACATGGCCATTCGTTCTTCAAAAAACTGAACAAATTGGTTGCCATTTTGTTCAAGACTTCGGCGAAGAACATGTAAAATCCGCTGCCCGTGGCAAACATTCCGAATTGGATAGTGCAAATCAAAAGAGTAGATGCCAGATGTGGAGGTTTGAACAAAGGGGCGGTTTGAAACCAAACAGATTTCAACAATGGGAATCGACTGTTCTTGCAGTCCGTAATACTACAACGATTTTCGATTGATTCAGCCTCTTCATAAATTTCGAATGATTCGAGTTCGTTTTTCTTTCCGTTATTCCATCGGTTCATTGTTTGCAAAACTTTATAGGCTTTCACTTCAACACCTTGAC